TACAAATGACTGTCCAACTTCACGGTCAGAGGATTTTAAAAATCGTAAATTTCATTATTTCAGCTTTTAAATCTGAAATTTCACCGTGTTGTAATTGTAGGTGTCCTGACCCAAAAGGAGTTGGGGGGGAGGGTTGCAAGGTTATTGTAGGGGGGTTTGCAGTACTGCTACCTTTATTTCTGTGCTGCTGCTGGTGGCGGCGCTGCCTTCAAAGATGGGCAGCTGGAGAGTGGCAGCTGCTGGCTGGGAGCCCAGCTTTGAAGGCAGCGCCGCTGCCAGCACCAGCATAGAAGTAAGGATGGCATGGATGGTATTGCCACCCTTACTTTTGCACTACTGCAGGCAGGACGCTAAATTCAGAGTTGGGCGCCCGGCAAACAGCTGCCTCTCTCCGGCCACCCAACTCTGAAGGCAGCGCAGAAGTGAGGGTGGCAATACTATGACCCCCCCTAAAATAACCTTGCAACCCCCTTGTAGCTCCCTTTTGGGTCAGGACCCCCAAGTTGAGAAACGCTGGTTCCCCTGTGAAATCTGTATAGTATAGGGTAAAACCACACAAAAGACCAGTTTTCATGGGGGGAGACCAGATTTCCATGACATGTTTTTCATGGCCATGAATTTTGTAGGGCCCTACATATGAGTTGTCCCATTGACTGTAATGGGACCACTCACATGCACAGAGCTTAAGCACATGTGTAAGTGTTTGCAGGATCAGGACCAAAATTTCCAAGCCATTCATCCTCTTTGTATACTCCAAGCTAGAAATGAATACTTTCATGGTACATTGTCCACATAAATTATCCTTCTCTTTTCATTCCTGCCAAACAATTTTGAATGAAAACACAAAATTGTGGTTTGGGGCAACTGCATTTTGAGAACGAAGAGGAAAATAATGAAAAATGAAAATTATAAATGCTTCAATCAGGCTGCATAATTTTAAATCTTAATGTTCATCAGAGATGGGCTTAAACTGCACATTCAGATTTAAAACACTCCAAAAGTTTGATGGTATATGGGTTTTGGGATCAGGCACCCCTCAGTTCTCATTGTAAAGCGCAGTAATCACAGAATTATAGAATCATAGCACTGGAAGGGACCTCAAGAGGTCATCTAGTCCAGTCCCCTGCACTCACGGCAGGGCTAAGTATTACCTAGACCATCCCTGACAGGTGTTTTTCTAACCTGCTCTTAAAAATATCTATTGGGGATTCCACAACCTCCCTACGCAATTTATTCCAGTGCTTAACTACCCTGACAGTTAGGAAATTTTTCCTAATGTCCAACCTAAACCTCCCTTGCTACAATTTAAGCCCATTGCTTCTTGTCCTATCCTCAGAGGTTTAGGAGAACAATTTTTCTCCCTCCTCCTTGTAACAACCTTTTATGTACTTGAAAACTACTATCATGTCCCCTCTCAGGCTTCTCTTTTCCAGACTAAACAAACCCAATTTTTTCAATCTTCCCTCATAGGTCATGTTTTCTAGACCTTCAGTCATCTTTGTTGTCCTCCTCTGTACTTTCTCCAATTTGTCCATGTCTTTCCTAAAATGTGTCGCCCAGAACTGGACACAATACTCCAGTTGGGATTGTATCAGCGCGGAGTAGAGCGGAAGAATTACTTCTCATGTCTTGCTTACAATACTCCTGCTAATATATCCCAGAATGATGTTTGCTTTTTTTGGAACAGTGCTACACTGTTGACTCACTTTCAGCTTGTGATCCACTATGACCCCCAGATCCCTTTCCACAGTATTTCTTCCTAGGCAGTCATTTCCCATTTTGTAGGTGTGCAACTAATTGTTCCTTTCTAAGTAGAGTACTTTGCATTTGTTCTTATTGAATTTCATCCTATTTACTTCAGACCATTTCTCCAGTTTTTCCAGAGCATTTTGAATTTTAATCCTATCCTCCATAGCACTTGCAACCCCTCCCAGCTTGGTATCGTCTGCAAACTTTGATAATGGCATACTCTGTATGCCATTATCTAAATCAGTGGTTTTTAAACTGCGGGTTGCGACCCAGTACTGGTCGCAGAATATAAGGCACTGGATCGCAGCGGCTCTGGTCAGCGCCACTGACCGGGCCATTAAAAGTCCCGTCAGCAGTGCTGCCTGGCTAAGGCAGGTTCGTCCCTACCTGTTCTGACACCGTGTTGCACCCCGGAAGTGGTCAGCAGCAGGTCCAGCTCCTAGGCTGGGGGGGCCATGGGGCTCCACGCACTGCCCCACCCCAAGCACCAGTTCCGCCAATTGGTTCCCAGCCAATGGGAGCTGGGGGGCGATGCCTGCAGGCGAGAGCCACACGGAACCACTTGCGCGCCTCCGCTTAGGAACCGGACCTGCTGCTGGTCGCTTCCAGGGCACAGCATGGTCTGCAGTGCCAGGACAGGCAGGAAGCCTGCCTTAGCCTTATTATCTTCTAGGTAATACAACAATGGTTAATTTTTTCTTTTGGCAACTGGGGCTTTTTTCTGTATATCTAATGTAAAAGACATAATGAAAAAATAATCACTCTCATTGCAAAGAAATGTCTACAAATATTCACACGGGCCATACATGCTCTCCTTTTGCGTTCACTATAAACAAATGTACAAGTTGTCAAATTGTAGTTACATAGATGTTCCTGGAAAGTGAACTTCAAAGTTGCAATTTTAAAATGTGCATGAATGAGTATTTTCTCCAGAAGTATATGAACACACATTCAGTGAGGTAAAGTAATAGTTACAACTGAACAACACTATAGCAATGACTAAAATGAAGCCAAATTACTCTAGCCCTCTGAAAAAATAGAAATTAGAGATAAAAAAAGACATATTAGGCCTCTTAGTTTATTCCCCTACCAATACATGATTGTTCCCTGTGGTATATTTTAGGTAATTCATCTAGTCCACTTTAAAGTCTTGACCAATGGATCATCCCCTAGTTCTTTTTGGAGAATATGTTTATACAAAAGTAAATTCTATCATTAATGTGGAGGATCTGAAGTTTTTTCGACTAGTACTGATTTCATTCTCTCCCCTCCACTTCAACAAACATGATAAGCACATGGATTGGCTAAAATACTTGCCCAAATGTTAATATATAACCAATTTTTGCATGTTTTGCTGTTGCAAACAGACTCCATTTCTTACTCCTATAACTATACAGTTTGCTTGCTCAGCAGTGCTAGGTTGATAGAATAACATAAGTCTTCTGTGTCTATAGTAAGTGTTTTTCGAGCACAGTTGGATATGGACATGTCTCAGGCCTGGTTCAAATTTAGTTTATAAAAAGCCTAGTAACTGTTGCTGGAAGATGTAGAACCTATGCTTGTGTGTTTTCTATACACGTAGGAAAAAATGGTTGCTTGCAATTGCCAGCCTGTCAGAAGCATTCATTATTAGACTTCCCGCAAAAGTCACACACAAACACAAACCCCCTCCGCCCCCGCACCTCCCATCCCTTTGAAATTCAATTCCCAGTGTGAAAAAAACTGCTTCTGATGCCATTTTTGGCAAAATATGTGAAATTCAGTTCTTTTTGGTGTTATCTTTGGCTCTGAAAATACCAACACTCTGCAAAAATATATTTGATGCCTTAAAAACATTTGAATTGTTACCATTTTCATATCAGATTATTATGCACATCAATATTTTACTGCTCATATTCCTTAAAAACATCTGAATACAAGAAGACTGTGAAAAGTGGTTTTTCCCACAGCCATGTACTTTTGTTTTAACTTACAACTTAATAAAAATAAATTTCAGAAATGTAGTTATTCTATATTATGGCTGCTGACTGGTATTTTTCAGTTGACTGAGTAGGAACTCCAAAAAGGTAAAAAAGTGAACAGAACTATAAAACTATGACCAAGCAAACAGAAGAAATTGAATCAAATACTGTAAACCCCAATGTTAAGATACAAATAAAACCCAGAAGATTTTAATACTCAGAACTGGATATCAAAAGAAACATTACATTTCATTTAAAATCTGCTCAGCACCAAACTGCATAGTCAATCTATTTCTCTTACTGCTGCAATTTTATTTATCAAGTGATATCTTTAGGCGGCTGGAGCAATGATAACCTAAACAACAGTGTCTTGAAGTATTGGATGTAAATAAATATCGGTAGGCTTTTGACACTGGTGTGGATGCATTACTTTACTGGACAATGACAGTTCCAGCCGTGTTCTTTAGGAGGTAAATTTCTGAAGCAGTTATGAAACTCTTCCCAAATAAGGCCTTTAAAATGATATAATAGGCAGAAATACAGTATTCAATGTTAGCTTGTTGGGCTCAAGTGGTACAATACTGCATATGTTCTATTTCCAGAACTGTAGTGTTCTTAATAATACAGCAGCTGGCTACATTTGTAAGTCTACTTAGATAAATATTATCTGTTCCATGATAGAAGGGTAAGAAAATGCTTTGGGCTCTAATATGATGGACACAGTGGAGCTCAAAAAATATTACCATTTTCAAGATGTAGAAAAGCAGTGTTGCATTTTGGACTACATCCCAGTCCCACTGAAGTTAGTGGCCAAACTCCCACTGATTTATATACAACTAAGAATCTACTCTTTTTTATGGGTTTTTAGTTTGCTTTGTTTTCTATGTTATGTGCAGTTTCCTGCTGCCATAAAGTCAGTGGAAGTGTTGCCATTTACTTCAACGGAACAGGATCTGTGCTGTGTGAGCTTTGTATTTTCCAGGTGGATTCACTTATTGAGCATCATGAATTTTAAGCAAAAAAAGCATAGCTCTATAATCCACAGAGACTTATCCTCAAAATTCGATGCGATAGGACCAACTGAAGTCTATTTCAGTCTTTAGAACAAGTACCAAAAAAAAGGTAATATTGTGAAGTATTTGACGACATACAACTATAAAGGAATGAAAAAGCCAATACGGTAAATTGATACAATTTTGAGCCATACAGAAGGCATGCAATATGAATATACAATCCTTAACATTATTATTTTCTAAACATTTAAAGACTTGCAGTCAACAGAAAACTTACCTTGATATGAGCTGCTGGATCTGGGACAGTCTGAATCATGTCCTTTAAGAGGCCAATGTGTTTACCAGTTCAAACCCCAAGGCAGCTGCACAAACAAGAAAACAAAATCACATAAGAGTCTATATGCTTATATTTATTTCCAATAAGACTCTATTTTCTTTTCTGGAGAAGTAAGTTTTTTTCCCCTATAGCAAATACAGCTGATGCTGTACGTAAGATATTATTGGTTCTATTTCTTAAAGGAGAAAACAATGTCAGGGATTGAACCTGTGTTCCTTATTCAGGAAAATTCTCCTTTAAACTTAATAGGCAATTCTCCCTGAATAAGAACTGCAGGATTGGGCTCTAATTGTATAGCACTGGTATTCTTAATATAGGGCAGAGTTGCTCTAGAATTTCTTCTTCCCCTGTTAGATGCAATATAATTGGGGCAGATCCTCAGTTGATGTAAATAAGCATCGCTTCAGTGGAGCTGTGCCCATCTACAAGAGCTGGGGCTCTGGCCCATCATCTAGTTCAATAGCATTTTAAAACACAGAACTTTTGAAATTCCCAATATATGATTGATAGTACAGTATTATTTAGATAATATTTTTATTTTTTAAGTAATGTCTCCTCTAAAATAACATATTGCTCAATAACAGGAACATTAGCTATGTGCTAAAGAGTATGGTTTGTAGTAGGAAAACAAAACGCAAAAACATAACAATTTTAGTTATACCTCATTTTTCTCTGTTTTCCCTTGAAAGCCTGGAAAATCCCCATTTTCCATGCAGAGTGATTCCTTTAGATTCTTGAACTCCTTTTTGTCTTTTAAAGTGACAAGATGATATTATTAATAATTCTGTTCTTACAGCTAAGATCATTTGAGGTTCGAGCTTCTATTTACTTGTCATGGTCAAAGGCTGATACCTTGACTCATTGTGTTGCACCTTAATGGGACCACTTGTGGAATAAGGTTTTACTCAGTGTGATTAAAGGTATCAGAATTTGGCCCTTAGTGAATTTTCCCCCCTTTACTACTCAAAGGGCCCAACCTTACTCCCATTGAAGTCAATGGGAATTGGGTTAGTAAACTTTAAGACCGAATTCGGAAAGCCCAATGCAAGCAAAATTCACAGTTAGGTGAACCATTGGTACAGTTTCCCCAGCTAGCCATGGAAGATCATACGGGTTGTTGGAGTGATTGTGTTCTTTGGAGATTTCTCTCCCACGTGATTTGAAGTGTTGGTACAATTCATGCAAAACAGATGTGCAATTTTTAATTTTTTTTAAAAAGTTAATTATTGAACAAATGAACCTAACTCCTTTTTCAACTGCAAACCCCTTTTCAAACATCAGCAGCATTATCCACTGTGTTTTATGGGATGAAAATTTTAAGATCTCAAAATGTCATATATTAAAATATTAGAGTTGTATAAATTGTGAGATTTTATTTCACTTCCTCTGTCATCATGGTCATCATTTTTACAGCCACTGGAAAAATGTGAAAAATTATCAAAGAAAATTTAGAGTTTTGCTGCATCAGTGATTATTTTTGTCAGCCCAAAGCAATGCAGGTTTGCCTGACATGCAAATACAAATTATTCCCCCAATCTATTTTGAAATGTTTCATTCAGGTTTTAGGAAGAGAGCTAGACTCAGTCAGGTATTGTGACTGAATTGCTAACAAAGTTAAGACCTGAATACTTTTCTAACCCTCTCCCTGCCAGGTGCTTATTTGCTCTTGGGAAGAGCAATTCCCACATAAGTCAATGGAATGTCTAGGTGTTCTGCACCTTGCAGGACTAAAATCATAGTGAGCGAGGCTAATGGGAGATATAGAGAAACATGGACAGGGAGTATCCATGATAAACAGCTGAACATGCCCATTCAGGTACCAAACGAGAATGCCACTTTATGGGTCTGATCAGGGAGGATCTGCAGTGTGTGACTTTTTCAGGTTTGGGTGGAGAGCGCGTGGTTAAGGGTTTTGCCCAGCTTTCCCATCTCCTTTACCATATATGCAGAAAAAGCTGCCACGATTTAGCCCATAAAATAAGATTTGGGGGCAATTTTTCAGAGTCATTTAGGTGCCTAAATATGCAGATAGGCGTTTCATGGGACTTTCAAAAGCACCTAGGTGTCTAACTCCAATTGAATTAAATAGGAATTAATCACTTAGGCCCTTTGTAAATCCCACTAGGCTCCTATCTGCATCTTTAGACACCTAAATATCTTTAAAAATCTGGCCACTGGTAAAGAATTTAAATACATCCGTTCACTAATGACAGGCATCAGTTTAGTACTTTTGGAACAGGATCACCAGACTTCTTAGGGTATGTCTACACTGCAATTAAAAACCCGCAGCCAGCCTGTGCCTGCCAACTCAGCCTCATGGGGCTCAGAGCAGCAGGCTGTTCAATTGCGGTGTAGATGTTGGGGTCAGGCTGGAGACCGGGCTCGAGGAACCTGAGAGATGGGAGGGTGCCAGAGCTTGGGCTGCAGAACGTCTATATTGCAACTAAACAGCCTCTTTGCCTGAGCCCTGCAAGCCAGAGTCAGCTAGCACAGGCCAGCTGTGGGTGTCTAACTGCAGTGTATGTAGACATAGCATCAGAGCTTAAATTTGCCTGGAGCGAACAGCCAGGGGCAGTAGCTTAGGCAAAACTGACTGGATTATGCTGGTACTTTTTCAATCTACATCTAGACGCCAGAACAGAGAATTCTTTACAAAAGAGAGGGTGGGAGAAATTTGTAAATCCAACTGGAAATCAAAGAAAATGTTTGTTCAGTCTGAGTTTGAAACATGGATAGGTTATGGCAATTTTATATTTTTTCTATTTAAGGCACTCATCTGTAGCAGTGCTCCCAAATGGAGGTGGCTGTTTCAATAGCATATGTCACAGTTCAGGGCCACTGCACCTGAATTCCCCACTTGTGGTCCACCAAAGGCACCCACTCTAGGGCTATGTCTATACTACAGACCTTACAGTGGCACAGCTGTACCAATGCAGCTGTGCCGCTGTAAGGTCTCCTGGGTAGCCATTCTATGCCTGCGGGAGAGAGCTCTCCCACCAGCATAATTAAACAATCCCCAATGAGTGGCTGTAACTATGTCGGGGGAAGACAGTCTCCTGCCGACTTAGCACTGTTCACACTGGCACTTTTGTCAGTGAAACATTTATCAGTCGTGGGTGTGTGGGTGTTTTTTCACACATCTGACCAACAAAAGTTTCACTGACAAAAGTGCTAGTTTAGACATAGCCTAGGTTCCTGGTTTTTCAGCCATCACCTCTGTTGGGCAGAAAGACCCATGTCTCTCTCCCTCCTAACCAGGGGGTTTCCAGGCTGCACACTTCCCAGCCTACACTGTGATATTCCCAGCAAGACTGACTGCCTAAAAGACCAACAACTTCACTTTGCTTTCTCTCCAGACTCTACGCTCAGCATATTGCCTGCTGTGATAGGGCGTGGCCCTCACACTCACATTAACCCTAAAGGTTAACCTGAATAGGTTAATGTAGAACAGATGGGCCAATGAACTTCTTAGGCTGCAAACTGGGGAATATTTACTCAGACAGGAGAACTCTAAGTAAGAGAAAGTCACCTGTGCAGGAACAGGTGGGGCTTCTATAAAAACAGGAAGCTGGTAGGAGAAAAGAGACTGCAGTCACTCTCCCTGGGACAAGGGAGAGAAAGGGATTTGGACTCAAGAGGAAGGGTTTGTCTATCAGGTCCAGGAGATAGGGGGTTGGCTAAAAGGGTGGAGAATAAGAGCCTGGGACAGGCAAGATAGGAAGTAGTCCAGGAGTGGCAGGAAGGTTTGTGCTCATACAGATCTTGGGTACTGGAGGCAGGATTTCTGGTCTGGAACCCAGAGTAGAGGGAAAGGCTGGGTTCCCCTAACAGCCACTGAATGAGAGGTACAATCTGGGCAGTGAACTTGAAGACTGTATGGGTCCACTTTTTCTGGCTACTAACGGAGTGGCTCAGCCAGGGCAGTTCAGGACCGTCTGGGATGGTGTGGAAGGTCTTGATAGTACCCTGGAAGGGGAGGACTATTTGTGACTTGGCTGGAGGGCTAAGCCATGAAGATGAGGTGTGGCAGCTCCTGAGGAGCAGGAGAGGGGCCCACAGAGTGAGACAGCAGGCTGAGGAACTGCAAGAAGAGGGTGTTGGGCTGGCCAAGCTAATCCCCAGACACGGCCAGCAGGAAGTGCTCCGATAGTGAGTAGAGACTCCGATGACACCCTCAGTTATGTTACCACACAGCACTAAGCAAGCGTTTTCACCTTAAGAATCAATGTATTACTGAGAAAACATATTAAAAACAAGAAAACACCCTTGCTAAAAAGCTTGCCAGAGGTCACCTCAACTCCACCTTGGGCTCTAGTAGGTGTCTGTCCTTCAAAACCCTCCAGTGGACTGCAAAGATATTTAAACTTAATTCAATGAGTTCTCACAAGGCATGGCAGGAAATAGCCATATCTGTCACAACACAGTCTTAATTCTGACCTGGATAACCATTTACAGCTTCATCGGGCCAGAAAGGGTGCCCTTCTAGATCCCAGCCTACAGAAAGCACAACTTTGTATTTCTACCTAAGCAAATCATTGCCTAAAAAAACCTCCATTATATTTCTTGTTTTCTTTTCCGCAAAAAAATAAAACCACTATTTAAATCATTTCACTTCCACCTTTACTGGTTGGATATAAAAGTTTCAGACATCTGGTACTAACTTTCTGAACCAGATAATATTTTTTGTCAGAACTCCCCCAACCTCCGAGTTTCATGCATGTCATGTTTGTGCGTCACAATCTGTCAAAGGGTCTGCCCTTAGCTGTATATTTTGCACTGTAATCTTTGCTAAGCATGCCTCTAGTTTAAAGGCCTGATCCCGAAGGGTGCTGAGCACCCCCAGAGGTTGCTCAGCACCTTGCAGTAACAAGCTATAAAGGCTGGATTCAGGAAAGCATCTCTGTCCAGGAAAGCACATAAACATGTGCCTAACTTTAAGCATGTATTTAAGTCCCAAGTTAATGGGACTTAAGGACATACTTAAAGTTAAATATGTACTTAACTGTTTTCCTGAATCAGGGCCTA